CCAGTAACTATAAAAAAAAATAATACAATATTAAGAAGAAATGCTACATAAAAATATACTGCATATCATCGTAAATTGTATATTGTACCTGTAGAACAAATTTTTGGTCAATAACTCTTTTGCCAATTGTTGGTTGAAAATCTGAAGATTCAAGAAAGCGTAAAAAGAATTCATAAACCAATTGCAGATGGGGCCAGCTTGCCTCCAGTGTTGGATCATCTTCCTCTGGATCGAAATCTGGATTTTCACTAGGTGGTAATGTGCGAAACAGATTTGCAGAAATCTTTAACAAAGATATTATTATATGGTAAATATACCATCAAGTTCCAGATACAAACGTTGTTTCTGTAATATACTAACCATTTTAATGATTTCCGGATATACATGTTCTGTAAGGACACCCCGTCCAGTTGAGATGTATTCAACCAGTTCATTCAGTGTACTACGTTTAATTTCTTTGCCTTTGAGATCTGCCATTGGATCCATGAAATCAAAGGTCATGCAACACTGCCGGAGTTTTCGAGTGAACAACTCTTCTTGCTCCGATGGTGTGACATCTGTAACATTTTAATAATCCTATTTATAAAACGTAAAGAGTCATCTAGATTTAATTATTCAACATATTCATTTGAATAATAAAAAAAATAGTTTCCATTTTAAAGATTTATCAAGTATTAGGTTGTATCTTCGACGCGCGCAACAATACAAAATTGTATTTATGTTTATTAATCGAAAATAAATGAAAAGAAAAAGGATAAATAAAGGTCAAGGAACAATAATAAGTATATTGGCGTTTATTTAGCATATTTCTCATGGTTCTACGTTGAAACATATAATTATGGATTTCTGCTTTGTTATTGTATCGGCGAATCGTCCGATACGTTAGTTGAGGTTATGGTTCAAACAACACGCGCGCGCCATGCGGTGCATATGCAGTCGTCTATTGGCAGCACTGTAACCAAAACGTAATAAATTCCTATCAGGAGTGTTCGTGCGCCTGCCTCTGATTTCTCTAACGCTATTGAACGTTAAACATCGTTATTTCTCTCAATAAATATCAAAAACAAATTATAAAGTTCAATTTCTCCTGCATTATCACATTTCAAATTATGAATTCGACGAGCCATAATCGTCAATCGAAGATATCTGAACTAGAGCTGTATATTTAGGGTAACTTCGAAGAAAGTAGCCATTGATTTATTCTATCTATTTATCATGTACATCAAGTTCCCTCCTTTACATTTCATTCCATAGTGACGTTTGCTTTATTCGTTAATTGCTCGTTCGCTGATTTAAACGATTCTTGCTAATTTACTCTGCCTTGAGGTTTCGTTTGCCTCGTGCACAAGTCAACGTTTATTTTTAAAATGTCCACACGTCTTATTATCCACGATATTATACGTATTTGTGTTCAAAAATTATCAAGAAAAACAACAAGGTTCGCGAAAGAAATTTTTTAAATTCCTTTTTCATTATTACGGGTGCAAGTTTGAAGTGAGGCTTAATTACAGAAAATCTAACCTAATTCGTGCATGATTTATTATCGACGAGGAGACAAAATTCATATTCAAAGGGAGACGTTTCAATTTACGAAAAAAAAGAGAGAAAAAACAGATAGAACGACGACTACAAAGGAAGTCGTATCAGTATAGAGGAAGAAACTATCTGGAATGTTCCATCGATGAGCGAAACGATTTTCACAAAAGGCCGAGAAACGCATGTACATATTGAGAGGCGACGAAGCGACATCTTCTCTAGCGGCGTTGCTTTATTCGAAATTTTTAACGAGAAAATAGCTGCCGCGGCATAAATTACTCAGGTCTATTAGCGTGTCTACTTCAGAAAAGGGGGGTTTGATCGTTCTCCACCCCGTTTCAACGGAGTTTTCATTCACCGTCGTGTGCTTGGCGAAAAGGAGGACAGAAGGAAGAACACAAGACACCGTTGCAACGCTCTCTTTTTCTCTCCATACGTTAGCCCCACTCTTTCTCTCTCTCTCTCTCTTCCATTCTATCTCTGCCCATTTCTCGGTTCCTATCTCTTTTTGCTCGTGGCGTATTGATTTACCCAGGTGGTGAACTTTAAACTCGCATCTCTACTCGTTTCCTCATTCATCTCGTGGCCTTTGATAGTGACGCGAAGAAAATAGCGTTCGTCGTGACAGATTAGTTAATGGATCCGACACCAACGTCTATTATCTATTTTTTACACCTCAAATATATATCGAAGATTACCCTATAAATTCATGAATGCAACACAGTGGGAAAACATTCAAGTACGTCGACGTTCTTTTTACGTAGATTATTTTATTTCAGATACCGACAGGACAATTAAAAGTGAGGTTAGGACGGAACGCGAACCGTTTGGGCGCGTTCGCACAGCCGATAATCAAAAATGAACGATCGTATCGTCAGAGCAAATACGTTCCTTGCAGCTTTTGAATCGTAGATTGCGCTATCGGGTAAGATAATTAACGTAGAAGGCCGTGACGTTAAACCAATGTCGCTATTTGCTCGTTAAAGCGAACTTCCGCGATGTGATACTCTATACCACGTTCATTACAACGCGGAATCCGTGATTCTCGAAACGAATCGTAAGGTAAGAATTACATATCGACAATAGTCAAAACCATATACTGCAACGTGTTACACGAATACTCTATCGTATTCAAGCAGACATTACTTCTCCAATTTCGTTCGTTTTTAGTTTCGATACACGCAGTATACCGACGTGTTAATCAGAGGAACGAGGAACAGGACTGTTCGGAGGCGCTCGTAAGTTACAGTTATTTTAAAAATCAGTAACGTACTGTAATAAACCAACCATAAAACGGGCCATCAAGCGTAAAAAAGAAAGAAAAAGAAAAAAACCACTCGCCTCACGCTCCAGATTCTACCCACCGCCGATCGTTCCACGCAAGATCCTTGTGTCAAGATCGCCAAGTAATTGAAAATAGTCCGAGCATCCAGAGAGGCGGGACGAATTAACGCGAGCTTTCAGTCGACCCGTTGAAAGAACGAAGAATGCCAGAATCGTAAAAGGCGCGCGCGCGCGCTCATTCGACGGAAGGGAAAACACGCGGTTAGGGCGTGTGTAAGAGGGAAGAGGAAGAAAGAAGAAAGAAAGAAAAAGGGAAAGAAAACATAAAAGGGAGTAAAGAGAGGGAAAAGAAGGAAAAGCAAAGGGAAGGGAGAAAGAAAGAGAGGGAGGAGATAAAGAACTGAGTAAGAGGAAATGGGAGCAAAACCTTGACGACCGTTAAAGGCTGAAAGGATGCTCAGAGAAGTGAATGCGAGGAATTACGAGAGAACCCTACGGTGTTGCATAAAAGTGCACGCGCGATCGAGAGTCATTAATAACGTTCACCAACCAGGCAACAGATCGCTTTAATTGGTAATCGGGAAACGAGCAGTGCGACAACTCCACTATACATAAGCTTTTATTTAATAACGTTACTCTCTTCAATTACACCGGCCTTTACCGTTCCCTATATATATATATATATATACCAATATCATGGTTTACGTAATTGCACGCATGTCTGTCTCACAGAGACAAAGAGAGAGAGAGAGAAGAGTAAAGATACATTACGGATATATCCGTGAGAGCGTATGGATGGATGAATGAAATTTTCGAGGAAGCGATTTTGGCCGCAATCACGGCGTTAGAATGCCGCTAAAGTGGCCGGTAAAAATAGTCGAAAGGCGGCTCTCGACGCGCACCGTCCGCCAGCCGAGTTCCGTTTCGAATATTAACCCGACCACCGTTAACCAAACTAGAACTGTATTCGATCCTCCTCTCACCGTCAGATATACGCCTATCCGTTATCTTCTCGAGATAATAATAGCAACGATAATAATACAAAAAACAAAAGAAGAAAGAAGCAGCTGTGGAGGAAAAATCACACCTCGAAACTGATACTGCGCGCTGTTAATAACATTTCAATAGGGAAAAAATATGGCGTAGATTTGTAAAGAACTGTGAATCAATTGAATAATTGCACAATTGCATAGTACTCGAGACACTGGGGCGCGGCGAATCGCGAGGACGACTCGATTTCGTAAGTCAGGGTCGCCGTTGTAACAGCGGCACACGACCTTTATAACAGTTTGAACGAAGACGCGCGCCGCCGCGACGCTGTCGATAAAAATACAGGGGCGCAATATGGCGATGGATTTGATCCAAAGTCTTCCAACGGAGACTTCCCTCCAGTCGCAAGTGGAGTAGAATGAGAGAGAAGGAGGAGGAACACGCCACACGCGTGAAACCAGCCGTTGAAGATCAATTACGGTCTACTTATTGCGAACGCGCCGCGCATGGAGCACGCGGGTCGAACATCTTAGCTATGCGACCTTGGCTAATGCACTTAACGCATTGCTGACCGAAGAAATTACACTTGAATAGGTGCATAAAACTTTTAACAAGATTTCTAGGCGAAAGAAATATTTCTTGGAATAATATCACGAGTAAGGCGGTACAAGGAGTAGAAAAAAGGAGAGGGAATTAACACGTGTTCAACGTTCGATTGATAACATTTAAAAATACATCTAGACCGGGCTATTTTTACACTCGATAGAGATTTCAATCGCGACGTTTCGACGATAAAAAAAAGAAAAGAAAAGAAGTAAAGAGGTCGGCGAAGACCTCGACGAAGAGAATTTGTTTGGTTTATTTTCAGGTCGGTAAACGGGAGACTCGCGGAGCAATAATCGTTGTTTTCTTTGTCACACGCGGACAGCCTCGATAATTTCGTATATTTCCATCCGCGGCCACGCCGGAGAGGACCTCGATTATTTCGCTTCATTTATTTTCGGCCTCGGCGAACACACCGGTCTCTACCGTGTTCCACTGGCCGGCATTCTCTACGTAATTAAAAACAGGAAACTTTTTTCTAGAACGCGCCGGATCGGCACAAACTATTCGCCTCTCTAGCTTCTATAAAAAAAAAAAATACTCCAAAAGTGTCTCTCTATTTTTGCCATCGATCTCTCTCGTTCTCTCTACTGTTCGTCGATCTTCGAAACAAGCTACTCGTTTTACCTCATCGACGGGGCATCTCCTAGTCGTAACAATTATCTTCGGGGAATGGACCGTGTTGTCCCGTGGTTGTGTACCCAAGTAAACTTTGCTTTCCATCGCAGAGCAGCGTGGCCTCAATGAATTTATCGAATTATGTGACCTCCTCCATCCTCCCCCTAACCCTTTCCACCTACTCCTTCTCTAGAGTACAAATACGTACGTGATGGTCGTAGGTAGAAGGCGCACGTTTCTAACTACGGAACGGAGGAGAATCACAGGTCGGTGTTGTTGCCAAGAAAAGGCAGCATTAGCAGCACGCGGCCAGAAAAGCGGAAGAAGAAGAGGAAGAAAACTCGCGTCATCCTGAATCGTGTATGACGACACTAGCTCTCCTCTACGTCTTCGAGAATTGACACCGTGCCCGGTATGAGGAGTGCGGCGCGGTTGTGACCGGTCCAAAACATAATTAGAATTTCGCCACTTCGGCTGAGGCACGCCGCGTCGGAAGTGCAATCTTATTAGCTGTTATTAGCCGGGT